AATGCTTTCTTGCTATTTCTGGCTGCCCTCAAATTCTCTCAGTGTGTCTTTCCTGGAGACACTCTACTCTTGCTTCTAATGGTTTTGACTTCACTTTTCACTACTCTTAACTTTCACCAGGAAAATCTACAGAAACGACCGGACTTTTAGAGAGACCAGTAGCGAAGTAGGCCCTGGGCACCCAGGTTTCGGTACTGTGTGAAGCGTGTGCCTGGTTAAGACTCTGCCAAATCAGGATCAATCCAGATGTGAGTCTGGACCTCACCCAGGAAGCTGGGCAGCAACTGGGCCTGCACAGAGAATCCTTTAGGGTGGCATGCGAGAGACCAGGCCTGGATATAGAAAGAGTCACAGATAGCTGGAGAACTCCCAGGTCACGCCTACCAAGAACTTTGAAAAAATGGAATTATTTGAATAGCTTCCAGAAAGCCAAGGTCAACATTTTGGTGCTTCTTCAAGATCAAACCATTAGGAAGAGAGACCATTTGACAAAACATTTAAGCTGTGCATAAACCGTCTTCCTGCACACACACACACAAAAAAACATGTAAAAGGTGACTCACATGTGGAAAGAGTAAAAAGAAGGAGTTGATGGTCTGAAATTGATTCAGCAGTGAAGAGTTCTAACAGAAAAAAGTTACGTTAGCAGCAATCAGAGTTCAGCAGGGATTTACTGCTAGGATGATTTTTTTGCTCTTTTGGGTACTTGTGGCCTTGAGTCTCCCTTTCAAGGGAACATGAATTAAAGCTAGTTGGAAAGGTAGTACCCTGACTTTAAGTCTATTCCTTTAATCTTTAAGATAGCAATGCTCTGAGAAGATTCATTTGCCATTGATATATCAAGACCAGAAGAGGAAGGAGAGGGGGAAAAAAAGATGAAAGAAAAGAAAGAGGGGAAAAAAAAAAGAAGAGGAAGAGGAGAAAGGGAAAAGACTGGAAACTGTAGACTGAGGAGAGTGCTTTGACAAGAATTTTGGAGCCAGGCGCTAAGCACCTCCACTGTGATCTCATTACCCCCGTTCTTCCCCTGAATTTCTCAGAGGACTAAGTTATTTTGCAACCTTTTGAAATATATCTTAAAATTAGTTATTAGGAAAAGATGCTGTGAAAACCATCATCTTCATGATCTCATTGAGAAGTGGATGTGAGACTAGATGTAATATCCTTGATAGAAAATGCAGGAGAGGGGCACCTGGGTGGCTCAGTGGGTTAAACTAAAAAAAAAGAAAAAAAAAAGAAAAAAGAAGTCACAACTAATTGAACGTTACAGAAATATATGAATATTCTGAAAGCATAAAAATTTTTATAAAAAATTAAAAACCTGGGGAAATTCCACCAAGTTAGAGAGTTTGTTAAAAACACATTCTCCTGCCAATAATTTGCTAAGAGTCATGGTTCACATATGGTTCCAGACCTTGTATACAAAAAAGCAATCCAGTAAACTCCTTTGTAAATGTAATATTTATAAATAAAAAGATCTTTAGGGGCACCTGGCGGTCTCATTCAGAAGTGCATGTGACTGTTAATCCTGGAGTCATGAGTTCAAGCCCCACATTGGATATACAGATTACTTAAATAAATAAAACTTTAAAAATAAAAGATTAAAAAAAAAAAAAAAGCCACACCAGTCGGAAAGAAACAGGAGCCAGCTTAAGGAAACCCTCAATGACCAAGTCTGTGACAAAGTGAAAACTAAAATAATTAAATTAATAGAATGTAAATTATTAAAAACATAAAATTCATAGGTCCATGCTGATAATAAACAGACCGACTGATCAAGAAGGGAGGTCTCTTGCCCACAGTCAAGGGTTAACTGGAAAAAGCACTGAGCAGGGTGTCTAGGTGGCACAGCCAGCATCCTACTCTTGATTTTGGTTGGGGTCACGATTTTAGGGTCCTGTGACAAGAGTCCCAAGTCAGGCTGCATGCTCAGCAGAGAATCTGCGAGAGAGCCTCTCTCCCTCTACCCCTCCCACTCATGCTCTCCCTCTCTCTTTCAAATAAATAAATCTTTTTGAAAAAAGGTGGGGGAAGAAGCACTGGGATTAGAAATCATTGCTTTGTATCCATTTTGGCAAAAACTGGGTCAGACAAGAATCATGGTTACCAAATCTAGGGGGAAATTTTGATGAGAAGCAAAATATTTGCAATGTCTTCAGTGCATTTCCACAGACCGCTTTTTAGTTGCAAAGGAAGAAAAGATAAACAGAATACAATGGAGAAACTGGGTAACATCTTGATCAGTGATAAAAATTAATATCACCTATGAGAGACAGGTGGATATTAGGTTCCTCCAGACATGATACCTGGAGAGGGACAGGTCACCTAAACAGCATTCTGGCTCAGAATGCTTAACTTCAACCTAATTACAGAGAAGCATTAGGCAAACACAAAACAAGGACCATTCTTATAAAACAAACACTGAGAGCTGGGTTATCTCCTCAAAAATATCAATGTTTTTATTTATTTATTTATTTATTTATTTGTCAGAGAGAGAGAGAGAGAGATCACAAGTAGGCAGAGCGGCAGGCAGAGGCAGAGAGAGAAGCAGTCTCCCCACTGAGCAAGGAGCCCGATGTGGGACTCAATCCCAGGACCCTGGGATCATGACCTGAGCCGAAGGCAGCGGCTTAACCAACTGAGCCACCCAGGCGTCCATCAATGTTATTTTTTTTTTAAAGATTTATTTGATAGAGACACACAGCAAGACAGGGAACCCAGCAGAGGGAGTGGGAGAGAGAGAAGCAGGCTCCCCGAGGAGCAGGGAGCCTGATGCAGCTTGATGCAGGGCTCAATCCCAGGACCCTGGTGTCATAATCTGAGCTGAAGGCAGACGCTTAACAACTGAGCCACCCAGGTGTCCCAAATATCAATGTTATAAAAAAGGCCAAAAAAAAAGTCTACAATTTTTTAAACTTTACAGTCCTTTTAAACTTAAACAGTCCTTTTAAAGTGTTCCAGTTTAAAGGAGGCTAAAGAGACTTGGCATTAAAGACTAATTCCTATATTAAATGAGGTATGATGTTATTAAGGACACTATCAGATCAAGTGATAACACTGGAATATAAACAGTAAATTGGATTAAAAATATAGTACCAATATAAGCTTATGAAGTTGGTAAGTTTGCTGGGGTTTGGGCACCTGGGTGGCTCAGTTGGCTGGGTGACTGCCTCCTGCTCGGGTCATGATCCTGGAGTCCCAGGACCGAGTCCAACATCAGGCTCCCTGCTTGGCAGGGAATCTGCTTCTCCAGCTGACCTCTCTCCTCTCGTGCGCTCTCTCTCTCTCTCTCTCTTACTCTCTCTCATTCTCTCAAATAAATTAATAAAATCTTAAAAAAAAAAAAAAAAGAAGTTTGCTGGGGTTTTAGGTTCAGTGCAGTAAGAGGAGGGGGCAGTGGTAGGAGGGGCCCAAAGGGTAAGATGTTAACAAGTGCATCTGGGTAAAGAGTATACAGCTCTTCTCGGTATCATTTTTATTTTGCAACTTTCTGTAAGTTCTAAATTATCCACCACCACCACCACCCCGCCAAAAAAGGTAATTTTTAAAAAGCCAGTCAAAGCATGCTCTGGACCCTATCTCCAACAGGTATTCCCATCTCTCTCATCTTCCTTTCTAAAGCAATCTGCTAAGCTCAGACACATCTTTAAGTGCAAAAAACAAAACAAAACTACTCTCGACCCCCAGCCACTCTGGACCTACTACATTGATGAAGTTCTAGAACATAGGTGAGGTTTGGTGGGGTGAGGTCCGGAGCTGATGACCAAGAAAGAATTCTTGAGACATCTTTGGTGCAAAATGGTGGCTTATTAAAGCACGGGGACAGGACCCGTAGGCAGGAAGAGCTGCTGCCCCGGGGATGTGAGGAGTGGTCTATTATATACTTGTAAGTTGGGAGGGGGTTAGGGATGGTGTAAGTCTCTAAGGAATTTTGGAAGCAAGGTTTCTAGGACCTTGAGGGGCTAGCTATTGTCTGGGAAAAGGTTATTCATTACCAGTAATAAAACCTTCTCATGAGACCCTTTAGATGTATATCAGTGGTCCATAGGCTTAGGAATGATTGTGGACACTATCTTGGAGGTTTAGAGATAAAGTTTCCAAAGGAATTGTTCAAGTAGACTTACAGGATCCTGGTTGGGGGCAGGGGTCAGTCAGGCTAGGATTGTCCTTTGCCCTTAGCAAAGCCTCAAGATGAGGGTAGTTGAGTCCCTAGAGGAGGGTCACTCTGCCTGTTTCAAGGGCTTGTTAGTAGGTAAGGAAATCTAATAATTTTCTTCTGCCTCTGTTTCCCACATCAACAAGACTTCTCTACTACTCCAGCCTGGCCTCTGCCCTCATTGTTCTTGCTAAATCAGTAAACACATAGAGTCGCCAACTCCAACAGATAAATATTCAGTTACTACCCACCTGTGTTGACCACAGCCTCTTCCTTGAGAGAATCGGCTTCTCCTCACTTTTGATCAGACACCCCTGATTTTCCTCCTGCCCATCCCTCTAAATCTTCTGCCACTTCCTAACTCTCTCTTGGACTTTTCGCGATTGATGTTCTTAAGATTTTCAGTCCACTCTGTCTCACTAGGTGGTCTCTCATCCACCCCGTGGTCTCAAAAACCATCTACATGCCAAAGACTCCCAAATTTCTTTCTCCAGCCCACAGCTTTATCTGAATTCTGTATTCACACAGCCTGAGTGCCTGACATTGCTGATTCAAAGGTCTCCCCACCCCGTCTTTCCATTTCAGTGAGTGCCACTTCCGTTCATCTAAATCAGAAAATCCCCACCATCAGCTGGCTGTTGACATTACAAGCAAGATTTTTCTTTATGGTTTTCAATGGTTTAAAACTTCCCTACCATAAACATATGTACTTATGAGTGCATTAAAGAACTTAAACCTCTTTCCTTGAAACAGAACAAAATGAAGATTTGCTTTATCATCACTATTTTTGTTCTTAGTTTTCGCTTTATGAATGTCTAAAAATTAATTTTAAGTTTCGTATTACCGGAAGCATTTGGATTTACTGAAGACATCGCGAAATCAGCTTCAATCTAGAAAAGAAGAAAGAATGGCACATGTAATTTCATCAAACGTTTTCACAGTGGAAGTTCTTAATTCCTCAGGTGTGGGGAAAGATTGTATTTTATGAGAAACCAACTGTCTTGACTTCAGCAGACAAGTAATAGCGCAGGACAGCTGCACAGTCATTTTATTTTTCCGTCTCTATCTAGGGTAGGGGAAGGGTGAAACAGGTGATGGGGATTAAGGAGGGCATTTGTTTTGTGATGAGCACCAAGTGTTGTATGGAACTGTTGAATACTACATTGTACACCTGAAACTAATATTACATTGTGTTAACTCACTGGGATCTAAATAAAAACTAAAAAAAAAAAGTGGTATTGAAGCAAAAAATATCCCTGTATCTATAAGATACCATATGCTAATCTGCTACAGACTCTAAAGGCCCCCAAACTGTTCCATTGACCCAAACAGTTGAAGCATATATAATCAATTATATATAACATAATCATATGCTGTCACATATGCGGCATAACCTAAAAGGTAATCTTTCTATTTCAGACAAATACAAGCGTTTATTGCAATGAGCTCAATGGCTTTATTTTTGAACTTTTTTCCTGATTATAAAAGTAACATGATGTAGAAAACATGAAAAATATAAAAAATTCATGAAGAACATCTTTAAAAACAGTCACCCAGTAAGAACTACTATTAATATTTTGGCCTAGTTGGCATTTTTCCCCCCTATGGCTTTTTAAACATATTTCAGAACACACCCTCTATACGGTTTGGGAAACTGTTTTCACTATGTATTAAAATACAAGCATCTTCCTATATGGTCACAGGGCCTAATAAACACTATGGAATTAGAACCTTGGCAACACCTGACACAGTTTCTCTACTTTGGATTTCATGTCCTGCACTTTCCAGGTTCCTTTTGCCCCTGTCTGGGGGTTCCTGTTGCCCTCTTCTTCGTGGAGTCCCTGTTTCCCCTGAGATGTTGGTACCCACCACTGGTATACTCTCTCAGTACATGCTGCATATTGTCCTCAGGCAACGCCAATCAGTCTCTTGCTCTGAGCTCACCTGTAAACAGAGGCGTCCTGAATCTGTCTCCGGCCCTTACCTCTCAATTCCTCACCTGGTTCCAGATTCCTGCATTTACAAGGGGCAGCATAATCTGAGAGCAGATCGTTACCACCAGCACACTGTTCACTGAGCGACTTCACTTGGAATGTCCACAGCCTCTTCAGACTTAATGTGCCCCACACTGAACTCACTGACTTTCCCCCAAGCCTGCTCCTCAGTTTCCCTACTTGGTGGTATTTACTATTGCTGCAAGCCTGGTTTCACACCCCTCTCTTATGGCCAACCACATCTAATCACCAGGGCATAACATCTCCCAACACCACAAAGTGCTTCTGGATACTTCGTCATCAGTGGAGGCGAGCTAGCTCTTCTAGTCTAAGTGATGCCTAAACTCCTACTTTCCACTAGAATTAGATAACCCTTTTCCTTGTCCCCTACGCTTGGGTTCTTCCTGTTCTTCTCCATGTTAGTATTTATCACAGAGTTTTATAAGTCTCTCTACATTAAATTGTGAACTGCTTTGCAGTAGGGGCTGTATACTATTCATCTTTATATCGCTAGCAACTAGCAAGTGTTCATTTTATTACAAGGGAACACTTCATAAATTTCATTGTGTAAACCATTGCATGAGTGTTTAAATGATTTATTACATGTCGTGCACTCAGTAAATATTTCATCTGCTCAAAAGCAATATTCAAAAACAAAATCCCAGGGGTGCCTGGCTGGTTCAGTTGATGGAGCACGCAGCTCTTGGTCTTGTGGTTGTGAGTTCAAGCCCCATGTTGGATACAGAGATTAATTAAAAATAAAAACTTTAAAAATAAATAAAACCCAAACCTCAACCTAGTATAAAAGTAAATATCTGTTACATTTCACAGAGGGTATACATTGTCATTTATTTAACACAGGTTCACATACAAATGACTGACAGGTTTACAGATGATTTGCTTTTACTTTACTGTTTAGTGATCTGCAGTCAGATAATTCGAGGGGCACCTGGGTGGCTGGCTCAGTGGGTTAAAGCCTCTGCCTTCAGCTCAGGTCATGATCTCAGGTCCTGGGATCGAGTCCCACATCGGGTTCTCTGCTCAGCGGGGAGCCTGCTTCCCCCCTCTCTCTCTGCCTGCCTCTCTGCCTACTTGTGATCTCTCTCTCTCTGCCAAATAAATAAATAAAATCTTTTAAAAAAATGAAATCCAAAACCTCAGCCAGGTATGAGAATAAAAGTAAAAATCTATTAAATCTCGTGGACTGTACAGTGTCTTACCCCATCACTGTACTTGTCATTCAGTTCCTCACTTGTATTCTAAAATTAAAGCCAATTAAGTAGATTCAGGGATGATAAAAGCAGAATGAAACGAGCTATCCTTCCAGCTGAACACAGGTTAAATACAATGCTTCAGAGGCCGGATCCATTTAGCTGACTTGTTTTAGAATTCTAGCTGAAATGAGTGCAGGTGAATATAAGAGCCACAGTTACTGGGAGTCCACCCTATTTCTCCACACTCCACACAGTATCTCAGTACCAAGCATTTGCTAGGAGGTGAACCACTTTGAGCCCACCTGGTCCATTCATGGGACATATTTGTGGCAACAGAACTTATTTGCCATGAAGTTGTGATACATTTAAGCATAATGAGGGACGGAGAAGTGAGACATCAAATGGTTCCTGGCTTCGCTGGGCATGAGGAATAGCAGCGACCAAGCTGGTTTAAGGAGAGAACAAGGGAGGGCATTCCAGGCAGAGCCTTCCATTTGATGGCTGCAATTGAATTTCTTAAAGCTGGATGAGATCTTGTCTCTGATTAATTCCAGTTCAGCATCTTAACAAGAGGGATCCATTTCTAGAATCAACGTAACAAGGAAATCTGTCCTCCTAAAGCAAGCCGCTCCTTGAGGCTCAGCTTGACCCTACTTATTAGTGACTTAGTGCAGACTCTTCTGAAGAATAATATCCAACAAAATTTCAAATGTACCTAGCAATTGTACTTCCAGGAATTTATTCCATAGATAAACATCCACAAGTATAGATACGCATATAAAAGGATGCTCAACACAACATTGTTTGTAGGAATGAAAATTAATGGAGGTAATCTAAATGACCGAAGACAGAAAACTAGCTAAAGAGAATAAATACTATGCAAACCACTTTCTAAAACGTGGTCATGTGTGCTTTTATGATCATTGTTAAGTGAAAAAAGCAAAATAAAATAGGTACACTATGTACCCACTTATGTGTTTAATAGAATGCTAGGCATGTTTGTTATACATAGGAAATTCTGGAATGACACACACAAAAGATTATTAATAATGGTAACCTCTGAGGAGTGGGACTCTTTGGTAGCAAAGGAAGGGATTTTACATTCAACTTTATACTTTTTCCAGACTGTCTGAATTTTTTGCCTGTGGAAATGTATTAGTTTTATAATTTAAATGAATTCCTGTTACCAATACCCACCTCCCAGCCTTCCCTCTTGACACCTCCTTAGCATCTTGCATTTATCATAAGCCCGGTGGTGAGAAAGGCTTCATGAACTCTAATTCATCCCTGAGTTAGGTTCTTAGAAAGAGTAAAATTCACGGGATGCCTGGGTGTCTCAGTCGGTTAAGCTGCTGCCTTCAGCTCAGGTCATGACCTCTGGGTCTTGGGATGGAGCAAAGAGCCCCATGCGGGGCTCTTTGCTCAGGCTCTTTGCTCAGCAGGGAGCCTGCTTCTCTCTCTCTCTTCCTGCCTCTCTGCCTACTTGTGATCTTTCTCCAAATAAGTAAATAAAATCTTAAAAAAAAAAGTAAAATTCAGCACTGGACACATCTTTGAAATCGCTCTGAGAGACTGATTTTAAACATCCTAAACTAGACACTGCGCTTGACTTAAAATCCACCCACTCTTTTATTGTCTGCCCCATTCCCAAAAAGATGAAGAAAGCTCTACCTTGGAGGGCTTGTACCCAAACAGCATTAAGACAGCAACTTTAAAGTCCTCTCTGCTTAGATAGCCTTTGTTATCTTCATCGCATGCTTTAAATACCTAAAGAACATTAAATAGCTTCAGTTAGACCGAAACCGTTGGTTCTATTACTTTTATTATTCGTTTATATTAAATTTAGACCTCCAAAATCCAAAACTTAGCTGAGCAGGAGGGCTCGGAATTGGGAGTTGCATTAACCTAATTTTACTTCTCAAGAATTCTTCATGTGCTAAAACTTACCGCCACCACCCCCGAAATGCGCAAACGACTTAATCGTTAGACTGACGCAAATTAATTCTTTTAATCCACTGGGATAAATTCTACCCAAAATTCCGTCCTAGAATTAGGAAGGTGAGACAGATAAAAGGTTAGATAGAGGTTATTATTAATAAACTATGGGGCGGGTTAAAGAAGGGACTTGGAAGTTGCCAGAACACCGGACAGAGAGCGAGAAGCCGTGCAGCCCTCGGCTCAGTCATTAACCACGGGCCTTTGGAAGGACAGCGCAGTCCTTGCCAGTGCAACAGAGCTGGGTGAGACCCGGGAGGGTGACAGAACAGGAGCCCTAGGTCAAGTTCGAGTCCGAGAGTCAGCCCTCCGGACACCTACTTCCACCCATTTCTTGTGTTCTGAGGGGCTGGCTTCCCACGTCCATGGCCGGGCCCCAGCCTCGGAGAAAAACATTGCGACCATCACAACCGAAAGGAACTGCAGAACCCAACACCTGCGCGGCCAGAACCCGGTTGCCTCTTGAGTGCCTCACTGCAACGAAGGAAGCTGAACTTGGCCGGGCACCTCCAACGTCTTCTCCAATTGGACGGCCTGCTAGCCACTGGCGTTGATCCAGCGGTTCTATTGGCCAGAGGCTTTAGGCCCGTTTCCTTGAAACAGCCTATGGCGGAGAGGCTTCTGGGCTCGCCCCCAGCTTTGCCGCTCTCATCCCTTTAACTCCTTGCGCACCGCTGGTATACACCTCACCTAGGTCCTGCTTCACTGTCTCTTGCAAGGTTCCTCCCATTTTTCTGCCCCCACACCTTGCGGTAAGTTTCTTTGTTAATTTTTATCTATGACGCTGTGCTAAACATAGGAAACATAAAACGTGTGAACTAAGCATTCAAAGAACCAAAGAGCCAAGTCTAGGATTCACGTGCTTATCGGCAAGTCAAGTCATTGGGGTCCAGCCCTCCAGGATAGTTACTGTGGTCTGTTTTGTCCTCTCCATATCCCTGCAACGAAGCAGATGCTCAGTAAAGTCCTTCGGACTTTTATGATGTGGGAAAGCCAGAAGGAAATGTAAATAAAATTAAATGTTCTTATAACCTGCAGCCCACTGACAATTACTTCATATAGGCAGAGTATAACGTTCCTCTAGGAAGCTCCCAAACTGTCTTACTGTTAATGCCTTGTTAGAGTGAAAAACAACCTTAGTTTGACAATAGCAAGTCCTACTTTATCCCTTGAGTCTTCTTTAGCAAATGAAAGTCCTTTTGGAAACTTCCTTGTCTTTACCCCCCTTGGTGTTGTCCCCCAACACCAAGGTATATACTCAGTTGCTCCTCACAATACCGGGGCAGCAGCTCTTCCTGCCCCCAGGTCCTGGTCCCGCGCTTTAATAAAACCGCCTTTTTTTTTTTTTTTAAGATTTTATTTACTTATTTGACGGCGAGATCACAAGCAGGCAGAGAGGCTGGCAGAGAGAGAGAAGGAAGCAGGCTCCCCGATGAGCAGAGAGCCCCAGGCGCGGCTCGATCCGAGGACGCTGAGATCATGACCTGAGCCGAAGGCAGTGACTTAACCCACTGAGCCACCCAGGTGCCCCTAATACCGCATTTTTGCACGGAAAGCATCTAAGAATTCTTCCTAGGCCGTCACTTTCAGACCCCCCCCCCCAACAACACTACTCCAAAAAAATCACATCAGTTCACACCAGGCTGATTCACCAAGTCCTCTGGGAGAGGTGCCTAGTTTGAAAGAAACTCTGAGAATAAATGTTATAAACATTATTAAAGCCGAGGAATATGGAGAGGTTTCCGGTTTTGCAAGAGTTTATTTCAGACTTTTCTTTCTTCTGGCAAACCAGTAAGATTAAAAACACAACGTTTCAAAGAAGAAACAGGTATTCGCGTTTGAGTGTGATGGGAGATCATTTATCCTTCTATTCTACAGCAGGTTTTACAACTTTGCACCCCCAGCGAGCTCGCTCCTCCAGGATAAAGGTCTCAAGCCCCAGGGGCTGGAACCTCCGATAATCCTCTCTCTGCCTTTAAGTAACTATCCCCCTGCCCCGAGCTCCGGGAGGCTGAAAGTATCTAAGAGAATCCTTGCAAAGCGTATGAGTTTCGCCCATTAACTAAGGGAGGAGAGAGAAAACACTTGATTTCTCTCTCCCCCTTTTAGCAGAAGCGATCAGGCGGTGAGTCGAGAGCTGGGAGCGGGCGGGACCTCCCTTCCATACATTCATGCTGAAGCCTTCCGCAGCCCCTCAGGACCCGGCGGTCTTTAGGACCCAGCGGCGGGCGTTCCGGAAAGGGAAGGGGCAGGGCCAAGGGGGTGGAGAATGCGAGCCCGGGCCGGAAGAGTTTAAACCGCGCGCAGGCGCGGGCGGCGGAAAAGAGGGCGCGAACCTGTGGGTTGCTGTAATTTCAGGAGCGAGTTCGGCTGTAGCCCCCATTCTGGAAGTGTCAGGTTCGTGGCCGGCGGTTGCGGGACCCTGGCCGGGGAAAGCTTGCTCCTTCCGGCCTGGGCCTCGCGGGTCCCGCGAATTCTGAGGCCGGGTGGAACTCGAGGTGATGGGATCTGAGGGAAGCGGGGTATCTGGTAAAGACCCTGGGGAAGGTCCCCATCTGGGCCTCGGCTTTCTCTGTCTTAGAACCTGTCGGGCGCGAGCGGCAGGCGTCGCAGAGAGCTGAGGGCGGCGGGGGGCGTGGGTGCGAGGGTTCCCCGCGCTCCGGTTCGTGCTCCGGTTTCCCCAACGGGGTAGGTGGGCTGTGTCGCCCGCCAGGGATGCTGGCGCGCGTTGGGCGCCTACCCTGTGCCAGGCACTGAACCTTTCTGGGCCGGGTTGCCCTGTTCTCGGAGCCCGTCATTCGCGGGACTTTGTATAGACTTGGTGCGAGCGTGAACGGAGTTTCCTCCCGGCAGAGCGCTTCGAAGGGGGCTGGACCTGGGGTCAGAACCCAAAAGGGGTTAGCCCCTGTTATTGCTTCCTCCACGTACCCGGAATCGGCCCGCTTCGGTCTGGCCTCACCGCCTCACGCCGGGTTCGTCTCCCTCCAAACCGTTCTCACGGAGTTAGGGAACATAATATTTGAGAAAAGTAAATCGGGGCCACTGTATTCCGCCCCACCTTGTTAAAGCCTTCCCGGGCTGCTTCCCCCTACCCCGCACTTCTTAGGCTGAAATCCAGGTTCTTTAACACGTACTTTACTCCTTCCCACTCCTTCATCCTGAACTACTGTGTTCCTTGCCCAAATTCCTCTTTGTAATCTAGGAGTTATTACAGCTTTGTTCCCGCCTCCTGGTCTTGGCAGGCTGGGTTCCCTCTACTTGGAATACCACCGTTTATTCGGCTCGTTCTTTTTCATGCTCCAGAACTCACTTAAATGTTTCTTATTCAAAGAATCGTCCAAAGGACGTCCCTGTTACTCTCATACACCTGTAAAATGCAACCAGTGTCTGGAAAGATAGCTTGGTTTTTCTGTTGGTGTTGATCTGTTTTTTTCCCCCCCTGAAATACAATCACTCCGGGGACAGAAACCGTTTCTATACTAATTCCTTATCCCCAGTGCTAGGCACATAGTAGTTGCTCAATAAGTACCTGTTAGCGTGAGCTCTGGGAGATGAGGATGATACACGTTTTACAGAGGAGAAAACTGTCTTCACAGTGAAGTAACCTGCCCAACTGCCCATTTACCACCTACTAATGATTGAATTTGAAATTGGGGGTCCATGTTTACCCACAAGTGGCCACACAGGGCCTCTGTCCTTCTGGTGGTCTGCACACTCTACAAGGAGCCGCTGGAATGTGGAAAAGATCTGCCCAGTTGGGTCTGATGTGGTGAGGGGAGAGGGGCAGCTAGTGTCTTTAAGAGGAGTACCTATTTGCATCACAAAAACGCTTTTCAGACACTGTAAGAAACTCTAGTGTTCCAAGCTGGCGTTTGGTGGGAGAATTTCTTTAGATTTTTCATCCTCCTTGGCAATACAGCTTACGGCGGTTTGCCAAATTTCAGTCATTTGCTTGTCTCCTTCATGGTTTTTGTCTTACTGTTAATATCTATACCATTGTTTACTTGATGTTTTTATTTGAGTCCACTTTTACATAAACTTAAATGTAAAGTGTATATACAGACACTTAAAACTTTTTGTCATAAATAAAATGGAGCCTTAAGATCCTTTGATGGTTTAAAAAAGTGTTACTGGTGCCTGCAGAAGAGCCCAGTTTCTTGACGTATCTTCAACCCAACTGTCTCCTTAAACGGATTGGAAAGGAAAAGGATGGTATTACGTGATACTAATGTTTGGTCCCAGTCACCTCCACTTCGGAAAACACTGCAGATCTGCTCAGAACTGGCCCATCTGTATTGTGATTGTCTAATTTCAGTGTCACTGTTCACTCAAAATGGAATATAAAACCTATAGTGTCCCAGGTGTTGCCCAGGGAAGACAAACAATGGAAGGAAATGCTCCTGAGTTCCATCTTTAACACTGTGACTTGATTGCAAAAGCACTCTGCAAATGCCTGCGGGGCAGAGAAGTAAAATTCTAATACTGGAACCAGGGAGCCCTCCACCGGAAGTCCGTTCCTGATCTTGGCATTTCAACCACACTCCTCTTAATCAGGCTAACCTGCCTGATACCATAAAGAGCTTGGTAACCTGCTGGATGTAATGACGATTTTTTTCTTTCAAAAGTATTTTGCCCTTAATTTGTAAATAACTCAGCATATTTAAGTGTGAGCAGATCCAAAACCTAAAGTATGTCTACATCAGAAAAGCATTTTTTTTCCCCGAGGAAAGGTCTTTTTCAAAAGAGGTTTTTTTGTTTTTTGTTTTTTGAGATTTAATTTATTTATTTGACAGACAGAGATCACAAGTAGGCAGAGAGGCAGGCAGAGAAAGAGGAAGGGAAGCAGGCTCGCTGCTTCGCAGAGAGCCCGATGCGGGGCTTGATCCCAGGACCCTGGGATCATGACCTGAGCCGAAGGCAGAGGCTTTATTTAACCCACTGAGCCACCCAGGCGCCCCCAAAAGATTTTTTACCTACTTGTCCCACTTTGGAGGGAATGAATGGTCTTTCTCCTCCTTCCCATGCATTTGTGGTTCTAGAAAATACAGGTAAATAAAACTTGAAAACTTTGGAATTACTCTAAATAGCTGAGTTGCTAAAGAGGAATATCTTCCCTACAGAGTTTTCAGGACTTTTAAAACTACACTTTTTTAGCTGTAATTCATCTGGGAGAACAATGATGATAGCCTCTAAGGTGTCTGCACACAGCTTTTCTTAGGCTGGAAGCTGAACCCTTTCCATCTAAAAATTAGGCTTCAGAATGAGGAAGGAATCTAGAAAGAACAGCCTGGGGATTCTTCATTGAAGATTCTGTTACTGAGTGCCTGGCTTTCCTACTATTTGAGAATGCACTGAAAGCTAGAGCTAACGTTTTTTTCTAAGGTCGGTTCTATTGTAATAACTTTTTGAAGTCACAAAACTGTAGCCACTAAAATCATTCCTTCAGAGTTCCTTTAATTCACGAAGTGAATTGTGATGGCTTAAATACCTCTCACCAGCAGCCTCCAGGAGTCTAGAACATGAGAGGAACGTAAGTTGAAAAAAGAAAAGCTTAAAAAACCTGAACTGTTCAAATGTTAAGTACTAAGTCTGTCTAAATATTTCATGAAAACCTAGCTCTTGTATCCTGTTAACAATAATACAGTTCTAACAAGCTTTGTTATCTGGTTTCTTAACCCTTAGCAGATTAGAAACAAATTAGGGGAAAAGCCTACTGAGTTCTAACAACTCTTAGACGTGGACTGGACAAAACACTTGGAAAGAAGAAGAGCTAGGGCCGCTAGTACAGGAGCAAGAGGCCCTATACATCTCTGTAGTCCCTAAGGCTTCATAAAACAGTATCCATGCCCAGTGAGGTTAATAGGGACACTGAGCCAAGAACAGGTCAAATTATTGTCTAAATGCATTCAGCTTAAACACCTGAAATAGGTAATTTACAGGAGAAACTTGATCTAACTTGATTGGTCATGAATTTAGAAAACGAGATATTGTGAAACATTAATAGATACCTTAAGTTTTTTAACTTGACCAGCAACTGGCTGGCTCACTCAGTAGAGTATGCAGCATTTGATCAGTTACTTAAAAAACTTTCTAGCTTAAAACTTGAGAGTATATTCATTTGCAAATATTTTGGTATGGAATCAAGCCTATTTTTTTGCGGTGGGGAGGGAAGAGATGTGAACAGAGTGCTATGGTCCATCTTGGTATACCTAACTTATAATGTGTCCTCCGTTTCTTTAAAAGAATATAACTTTAACTACATTTTGAGCAGAGACTTGGGTTAAACAGTTTTTCTCTGGGTCTTGTACAAAAAATTTTTTGAATCACAGTAAGAAACTTAGCTGCCTGGAAAATATACTTAGGCCCTTACACTTGAATTGGTGAGCTTTCGTATGTAACAAAACCAAAAGTACTTCATCTAGTTCAAGTAGAAATTTGATTCTGGTTTAGAAAACGTGTTTTGTTTCAGTGCAAGTTCTCTGCAGGTTTTAGTATGATTTAAGACAGGGCCTATAATTTAGTTGGGTCCTCATGGCAGCAATTCTAGATAATGTATATACAGAATTGAGCATTTGACACTATCTTGAGGATTTTAAGCTTTACAGTAAGTAGCTTATCTTTGAAGTAAGAATCGCCAAGTCCTATGGGGTCTCATGCTTGGGTGAAGGGTAGATTTGTAAACTTCAATTTGACCTCAAAAATTTGAGTGATAATTCTTGAAATTCCTTAAATTACCTTAAAAACCCCAAGCACCTGTTAGAAAATTCAGAGCCAAGAATGAGTATTTTTATGTTGGAGTTTAGCCCCAGCTCTTTCCTCAGGCCTCTAAGAACAAGGTCTGGGTTGAACGAGGAGAAGGTAACTAGGATCGTGGCTGTCACTTTATTTCCCGATTTCCTGTAGCAAATTCTGGGATCCTGCTTCTGAACACCTGCAGAACAGCTCATGTTCCTTAAGTGGCTCAGCATCTGGTGAGCGTCAGGTGTGCTATATGTGTTGTAGAAACTCACACTGACAGGGAATTTGAGAGCAACTGTTTGCCAATGGCCTAGAGAATGGAAATAATATTTGTCTTTCATTTCCAGAAGTATGTCTCAGGAAGGTGATTATGGGAAGTGGACGATATCCAGCAGTGATGAAAGTGAGGAGGAAAAGCCAAAACTAGACAAGCCATCTACGTCTTCCCTCCCCCATGCTGGGCAGGAAGCAGCAAATGAACCAAGATACACCTGTTCTGAGGCTAGGAAAGCGGCCCATAAAAGGAAATTATCACCTGTGAAGTTCAGCAATACAGATTCACAAGTTTCACCTCCCAAAAGGCAGAAGAGTGGTTCCCAGGAAGACCTCGGCTGGTGTCTCTCCAGCAGCGATGATGAGCTGCAGCCAGGAACACAGCAGAAGCAGGCTAAGAACATCGTGGTCAAAGAGGAGAGCGGCATCTCTTCTCCCCAAGACGGTGCTGCCCAAAGAACTGCAAATCACAGCCCTCCTGCCCTCCATGGACTAAAAGAGGAGGAAGAGGACTATGAAACCTCAGGGGAAGGCCAAGACATTTGGGACCTGTTGGAAAAAGGGAACCCCTTCCGCTTTTACCTCACTAGAGTCTCGGGAATTAAGCCAAAGTATAACTCCGGAGCCCTCCACATCAAGGGTAAGTGGGTGCTGCATGCCCTGGAGCTGTCAAGTGGCACTTGAGAGCGTTCCCTTGGCACAACAAGGAGGGTGACCTAGAATGACCTCTGAGAACCCTTCGCAGTCTTTTAACTACCCTCAGGAAAACTACCAGTTAGACAAGCAAATGCATTAGTTTGACAGCAAGCTGCTTACTTAGGGAATCAAGTAAGTGTTTCTCAGTCCTGTAGATCTACCAGTTGGAATGCTTAAACGATTGTCAACATTGTGCTAACTTTTTTTTTTAAAGATTTTATTTATTTATTTGACAGAGATCATAAGTAGGCAGAGAGGCAGGCAGAGAAAGGAGGAAGCAGGCTCCCCGCCGAGCAGAGAGCCCGATGCGGGGCTCGATCCCAATACCCCTGGATCATGACCCGGGCCGAAGGCAGAGGCTTTAACCCACTGAGCCACCCAGGCGCCCCCATTGTGCTAACTTTTAAAGCGTAAACTTATTAATAACACTTGAATGAAATAGCAAATAACTGACAGCAGTAGCATCACTTAAAACTTGTTAATGCAAATTTGGGGCTCCATCCAGGTTCACCGAGTCAAACTCTGGGAGCAGGGCCCTGCAGTATGTTCTAAGAAGCTTCTGGGGATTCTGATGAGGGAGCAGAAGGCTAGCTGAGGAAAAGCAAGAAGCTGACATCCCACAACCAGCCCCCGCCCCGATGGGATATGTGACATTCCTCAGGCACTCCTGGCTGCCCTAAAGGAAAAACAAATAGTTAACTTACGGAGATTATAATCCTACAAGACCTATGAGTCTCCCTCAGTTTACAAGCCTTAGCAATTTACAAGAACAAAACATTTCTATCCATGGCCTAGCTTCCAGAAGGGAATGTAGATAAAATTAAATGTCCTTATAATCTGCAGCCCATTGACAGATACTTGAAGTGGGCAAAATGTAAGGGTCCTTCAGAAAGCTCCCAGCTATCTTATTGCTAATGCCTTACTGGAAGGAAAACCAACCTTAACTTGGAAATGGCAAGGCCTCCTGTATCCTGTGAGTCTTCTTTAACATTCAAAATCCCTTGAAACCTCCCTTTTCCTTACCTCCCCCAATTCCCAGGTATATAAACAGCCACACCTGACAAACATGGGGCAGGTTTATCTGCCCACTGGTCCTGTCCCTGTGCTTTAGTAAAACTACCTTTTTGCACCATAGACATCTTAAGAATTCTTTCTTGGCGGTTGGCTCCAGACCTTACCCCACCCAACTTCACTTATATTCTAAAACCCCATCACTTATGCCCGGTCGGGTTTGAGAACCACTGTTTGGAAGCCAGATTTCAGTTCTGGTGAAGAAACAAAAAACACCAGCATGCAAATAGATGTTTCAGTTCTGAATCAAAAGATAGTCTTCGGTTCCTTTGGTTATTCCCCAGGGTGCAGCTGTGTGGTAGCGTATTTTGTCTTCATTCTTGGTTGGTTTTTGTCCCAGGCTCCTGTAAGAGCTCTGAAGTAATGAAGGTCAAGAGAATATCTTCTGGGGCGCCTGTGTGGCTCAGTTGGTTAAGCATCTGCCTTGGGCTCAGGTCATGGGATCAATCCCCATGTCGGGCTCCCCGCTCATCAGGGAGCCTGCTTTTACCTCTCTCTCTCTCAAATGAATGAATAAAATCTTTAAAAACAAAAACAAACAAACAAAAACTTCTGTTCAGAAAAAGCCCCTTTTAGTCACACCTGGGTTTAATGAAGTGGCCTTTGGAAAGCCCTTGAGGATGAAGGAGTCATTGCCAAGGGGACCCAGTTGTGTCATTAAAGTTGGACGTCTCAGCCCCACCTCCAGGGAGGGGGGAAAGAGAGCTGAGTTAATCATTAGTGGCCAGTGATTTAATGGCCTTTGTAATGAAGTCTCATTTAAAAAACCCTAAGGGGTTTGGAGAGCTTTTAGGTTGGTGAACACAGGACAGTGTATACCCCTTCCCCCATACCTTGTTCTTTGCATCTCCAATCTGGCTGTTCCCGAGTTGTATCCTCTTATATTAATAAACTGGTAATCTAGTAAGTCAAGTGCTTTCCTGAGTTCTGTGAGGCATTCTAGCAAATTTTCGAACCCGAACAGGGGCAAAATAGGGAATATCATCAAGAAACTGCAATATACTCCTTTTGTGTACCTCTCATAAAGGTAGGCGCTTGGGCGCCTGGGTGGCTCAGTCCGTTGGGCATCTGCCTTCAGCTCAGGTCATGATCCCAGAGTTGTGGGATCGAGTCCTGCGTCGGGCTCAGCACGTTGCCTGCTTTTTTTGGCTCTCCCCTTGCTCCTCCCCACACCTCATACTTGTGTGTGCACAAGTGCTGTCAAATTTATATTAAAAAAAAAAAAAAAAGGACAGGAGTTTCCTTAAGGTGGTGACTTTTAAAATTTTTGTAACCTACCATGTAGCTCAAAATCTGGAAGAAGCACTCAGTAAGCATGGGTCAAATAAAGGAGCCTACTCTTAATCCTCGAGCACTTTGATGGTTGTGAGCACATGTGCTGAAGCCAGAGAGCCTGGCTTCAGATCTTGACTATCCCTTCCTAGCTGTCCAGCCATGGATGATCTCCTAAGGGGAGACCCCTCATCTGCAAAGTGGGAATGAGCAACTCCAGCTCAGAGAATGGCTGAGATGGAAAAGTGAGCGCAGGGACAGTGATAAGAACAGTGCCTAGCACCTAATAGGTACGAGTCCAGCAGTTATGATCAGTGGTGGTAATCCTGTAATTCCTCTCCTGGTACAGTTTGAGAAGTGAGCTTTCTGATCTTACTTGAAATCAAGTTGGGGTGGGTGCGAGGTGCAACCCCCTTCAAGATGACCTGGAATGCTAGAAACGTGAACTTGGGGTTGTGGGTGCCTCTGCCTTCCTTCACAGGAAGCGGGGACTCTCAGGCTCCAGAAGACAGTCGTGCTAGTACTGGGTTGGGGAGGTTTCTTGGAGGGCACTTGAAGGAGTTAAAAATTAACATCTGGGAAGAACAACAAAATGTCATTATTGTCCTTACTGACAGTTTTTAAAATTGACCAGCCATCAAATTCTGAAGCTGACGTTTTAGTTTTACATTATATTTTGTTAAAACGTAATAAATATTAAAGAGCTCAAATTTTCTGTTGAATTTTATGGAACATTAGAGTCTGGCTTTGTAGTCACTTCTCAGTTCAGTTTTCACAGCTGAATTTTGATTGTGAATAAGTCAGTTTGTGATTATTACCAGATTTTTATCAAAAAATGAGTTAGATCTAAATGTTTTGTCTTCTCAGATATTCTGTCTCCCCTATTTGGGACACTTGTATCTTCAGCTCAGGTGAGTTTATGGTGGCTTTTTTCTTTAGGGGAGAAGGGACAAATAAACCCATAAGAAAATACACGTGAGGACCTGTCTCAGTCCTATACAGGGTTCCCAAGGTGACCCATACCAGAAGGCTGGCATCAGGAGCCACGGTTGTGGTATCCAGCCATTAGCATGGAGTAAGGATGCCACGATCAGTGGAGCATTTGCTTCTGGATTGGGTTATAGGGACTGGCCAAGAAGTCACTTTGGGAATTCCAACCTGAGGGACTTCTTTTTGGGACCCAGTTAATCTCATGGGGTTCTAATACACCTCCTGGGAAGGTATGGGTAGGTATGTGAAGCCCCAAGTCATTTGATTTGCTTTAGAAAAATGTTTCCTACACCTACCAAAAAGCAGTGAGTAAAAGTTACGCGTACTTCTGCGTGTTTGATTGCTCCTGCTTTATTGAGCTGGTCCCTGGTGTTGATGAATCATGTTAATGCTTCATGCTCTTGAGGAAATAGTGAGAAAACAGGTCACATCCACGAAGAAACCAAAGCTGTGTGCTTTATGTTCAGCTTGGCCTCCAGAATCCTAGTCTCCAGTTGGAACATGGCAAACTTGTGTTCTCTTAGCTAGATAGGAGGAGGAGGGCCAGGGATTACCCAGGCATGGGGAGGAGCCCCCCTGGGTAAGTTCCATGCAGAACTTGTAGTCAAGATGTAATTGTTCTAAGCCTGGTAAATGTCCAGTCCCAGAGTTCTGCTCATAAAGCAAACCCATAAGTTAGGCTGAAAGGAAATGTTCTTTTCTAAAAGTCTTTTTTATAATCACCTAGGGGGAAAGGGATAATTTTATAAATCCATTTATTTAAATTAATCAGAGGGCTCTTAGAAATATGTAGTAAGACTGTCTAGAAATACACATACTGCCAAAACCTGCGGGTTCCTTTCCTGAGAACCTGTTTTCTCTTGCGCTACTCCACTGAGTCTGATTCCTTGAATTGGGTATTCTCTTCAAGAGGTATTTTAGGTTTGAATATTAGAGCACAACTGTCCAGGTTTATAAATAATATTTGGAGTTTGTCATTAGTCTAGTGTTTCTTTCAATTCAGTAACCAAACTGTTCTTACAGACTGTTTGCCTGAATTACCCATAACCCCATCCTTTTCTTTACCCATCTAGTTTAACTACTGTTTTGACGTGGACTGGCTCATAAAACAGTACCCACCAGAGTTCAGGTGAGTACCACAGGATGACTGATAACATCCTAACTGTAACGGGGCTTTAAAACAAGATTCGTGTTTCTCAGGCAACTGCTGTTCATCTTTCTTGATTATTTCTTTTGAAACTGTTGAACTCCTACAAACTTAGTTGTATAGGAAAAACAGTGTTTGTTGATCTAGTCTAAGTAGTTGCATGCATTCCTAATACGGGTTTTAGCATTTGCCTCTGCAGTTTCCAGAAGTAGATAAGGACAAAGCAATCTAAAGACAGCTTTGATAATAATGTGAAGGAGAAGATCATTGCTACTCGCTTTCCAGACTTGGAAGCATATCACAGTTAGTGCGGCAGTGCTGTTCAAAGAATTTTTTTTTTTATAGGTGTTTTTTGTCAGAGCACGCAAACACAAGAGCAGGGGGAACAGCAGGGAGAGGGAGAAGTAGGTTCTCGACTAAGCAGGAAGCCCAAAGCAGGACTCAAGCCCAGGCCTCCGGGATCATGACCTGAGCCAAAGGCAGATGTTTGAGCTGCCTAGGTGCCCATGTGCAAAGAAACTTTGCTTTGCAAATGATTCTTCCTGTGGTTTAGGACCTAGTGAAGGGGGTCTTAGAGCTTCCCTTGTCCAGAGTATGGAGGTGATGGATTTTTCAGTTTGTCTCCTACAGTTCCCCAGCCCGGTGTTAGGCAGTGTAGATCAAATAAAGATAGCATTGTATGGTGCCCTGCCACCTGTCTCATTTTTAACATTCACCTAGCAAAACCCCTAACAGCAGGTAGGTAAAGGAATGTTTCCACAGAATGATTGGTTAAAGTCCTTGGTGCATTTAGGACCTCAGATTCTGGAAACCTTTATTAATAGTAGGTAAAATGTTATTGAAATTTCCCAAATGGCTTTGACACTCAAAGGCTTGTATTTGACCTGTGACACATAGGATTAGTTTTAACTACATGTAACAGAAAAGCAAAAATAACCGTGGCTTAAATGAGGGGAAGTAATTTCTCCAACCTAAGAAGTCCAGATAGTAGACATTTGTAGTCTGGATTGGGGGCTGCTACAGTTCTCAAGGACTTACCCACCCATTCTGTCTTTCTGTCCCACCGTCCCAGTACATGTCTTCAGAGTCCCTTCATGGTCCAGGATGACACCCAGGGCTTCAGGTCCACTGGTCTGTGGTTCAGATGGCAAGAAGGGGAAGGGACAAAAGGGCCACATCCCAGCTGTGCTTCCTCTGAGCAGTCTCCTAGAAGTCCTACACAGCACCTTATATTTCACTGAGCAAGACTCAGCCACACAGTGCCTTATTTCATTGAAATAGAACAACCTGTTAATCTGCATCATGCTGTGGGCCTGGGCTTGTTCACTCTTGGATCTTGGGGAACTGCTGCCGCCGTACCTAGCACACGGTAGTTCAGTGAAGATAGGTCTAATGAGAAAATGCTCTTTGCTTGGTCTAAAGGAAGGGATAGAAAAGAGCATCCTACTAGATAACAGTGCATGCTTATCTTTTAATCTGAACTTGAAAACATGAACACAGAGCTAACTATATGTTCTTTTGGACCAAAGAAGATAATTACGCAGGGACTTTCTTGAGTCACAATCTCTCTGGGTCATAACAGAGCTTTGGGTCAGGCCACACGACCCTTTTGTAAATGTAACTGGTTAGTGGAGATTAATGAACAGTGCTACTTATTAGCTCTATACTCCATGACCACAAAGGCCAGAAGTACTTGTCTGGTGGTAAGAAAACTAGCATTCCTTAACTAATACCTTAACTAGTCAACTAGTCTTTTTTATAAAAGATGTATTGTAAATACTTCTGATCTGTTTTCAGGAAGAAACCAATCCTGCTTGTGCATGGAGATAAACGAGAAGCCAAGGCTCACTTACATGCCCAGGCCAAGCCGTATGAAAACATTTCCCTCTGCCAGGTAGGCTGCCTATTGCTGTTTGAGATCCTGCTTAGTCTGAGAGTTGGAAGGAAATTTAGACATTTGGTCTGTCCTCCCACCTAGAGCAAGAGTCCTTTCCCTTGCATCGCCAACAGCTCCTTGTCTAGCCTTGACCTAAATGCTTCCTGAGAGAGCCCATCTATGTGTGGGCAGCCCTTGTTGGAAGGATTTTTCTTTATGTTGACCTGATGTCTCTGTATGTGTCAGGGTTCTCCAGAAAAACAGAACCGATAGGGTGTGTGTGTGTGTGTGTAGAAAGACTTCTTTGAAAAGAGCTGGCTCACATGATTGTGGGGACTGGCAAGTCCAAACGCTGTAGGGTAGGCATGTGGGTGGAGACCCAGAAGAGAGTAGGTGCTGCAGGTCGAAAGATAGTCTGAAGACTGAGTTTCCTGTTCCTTAAGGGAGTTTGCCTTTTTTTCCACTTAGGCCTTCAACGGACTGGATGAGGTCCACACCTCATCTAACAACCTTCATGGCAATATCTGACCAGGTATCTGGGAATTGTGACCTTGCCAAGTTGAAACAAACAAAATCCTCACCATTTCCTTTTACCTTTCAAGCTTGGGTCCTGATTCCCCTCTCTGGGGCCACATAGAATGAATTTCAATCTCACATATGAATGATTCTTATATGTAAAGTCCTCTGTTGTACCTCCTTAGTTTTCTTTCAGGATCGAGCATGGTTTCTTTGGTTGTACTTAAAACAAGAATCCCTGTTTTCCCTCAACGTGCCTCGAGTCCTGTTTGCATCTAGTTTGTCAGTGTCCTTCTCAAACCTAACCAGGTTGTCTGGATATAGTTCGGTGGTTGCTGCTTTCTGTGAGTGCAGCTTAAAACTTTTTATTTTGACAACTTATCTGACTGTTATTAGCTGCTGCTGTCCCGTGTCCAGTAGTCCTCTGATCTTTTTCACGTAAATTGTGGTGAAGGTTTATACTGGGGAGATGGACAAATTAAAAGCAAACCTATTAGGAAACTACCTCTGTGAGTCGAGCTGCAAATGATCCAAGCCTGATGAGGGGATGGTAAGTGGTCTTATAACAGGTGTTTCTGCTTGATTTGCTGGGACCAAAGCAAAGCAGAAAAGGCCAGGAAGTTGTTGCCCAGGTTCTTGTTAGAGTCCCAGAATTCTGTCGTAATGCTCTTTAGTCCATACATGGAAATACACTGTAAGTCTTGGACTTCCATTATGACCGGTTGCTTTTAGTTCCACCTCAAAGAGAATATTGTGTGTGGCATTTCATGCAAGAAACCGGCACATGGGAGAGAGAAAAGCAAGAATTTTTCATAATAGGATTTCCTTCCTTTGGAAATGGTGGCTGTGAAGTGGCTGGTGTCATACTGACCTTCTCCTGTTTTAGCAGCTGGCTAGTCCATTTTCAAGCAGCCATGTTCACATACTTCCACAGCCCCTTTCTCTCCTTGCCAGAGTGAGATGGCCTCCAGATTTCTGCTCTTGGAGTGCGTTGACAAGAATGAACTACATGGAACCTAGATGACTTTTCTCCATTTTTTTTTCTAGTGTTTTTTTCTCCCTCTTCATATAAGATGTAAGAATTCCAACTCATTTTGATGTTCTTTCAACTATAAAATGTTATCTGTGTATATGTGTTTTTTTTTTAAGATTTTTATTTATTTATTTGACAGACAGAGATCACAAGTAGGCAGAGAGGCAGGCAGAGAGAGGGGGAAGCAGGCTCCCCGCTGAGCAGAGAGCCCGATGCGGGCCTCGATCCCAGGACCCTGGGACCATGACCTGAGCCGAAGGCAGAGGCTTTTTAACACACTGAGCCACCCAGGCGCCCAGTTGGAGTTTTAAAAGTCACTCCTTTACCCAGCATGTTTGTGGCTCACCTTCTACACATAAATAAGCCTCAGCTTGACATTTGCCAAAAATCCCTTGGTTGCTTTTGCTTCCAAAAGCAGAAGAGGTTTAACTGCAATAGGGTGGTGCTAATGAGACTAATTGTGGGTGGAAAATAACACAGGAATCCTAAAGACCAGTCATGAAATCCGTGGAAATAGGAGGTCTTTCTCAGGCACTAGCTCCTTGTACTGAAAAGTGGGGTGGGTATGTGGCGGGTTTGGTGGTGTGCTCCCCACCGGCCGCTAGAGGGCATGGTCGTCTTTAGCTTGAGTAAAGAGCTGTTCAGAAGGTCTCATTTCTAAAGTAGAGATTTGTGGCCCCATCCTGACCTGTTGAAATATTGTTATATCTTGTCTCTAAGATGAATTCTTGGGTTTTATTTGGGGGGGGGTGTTGCACAACATAGTGTTACTTGATGAAGCTGAGGCATACTAGTCAAAGAATCGGCGGATGCTCCCATTTTGCACATGCAGGACCTGAGGGGAGAGATTGAGACCTTGTGGTGGTCAAGGTTCAAACTGCCTGGGTTCTGCAGTTCTCTTCCCACTAACTATGCCCTTCTGGGCCCATCACTTAACTTCTGTAAGCCTAATTTGTTTATCTTTAGGATGGATTGTTAATCGTCTTATTCATTGGGTTTTTGTGATGAGGATTTGGCGCATTTGCCTAAAAAGTATCCATTAACTGTTACCTGTTCAAGTTAATATCCTTGTGTTTAGACTTGCACAAGAGCAAACAGCTTATAGCGAAACTAAACTTGGAAGCCAGACTTTTGACCATTGCTTTATCTGAGCTAAATATCAGTTTACAGGGAGACAGTCTTCATTCTAATCCTGTAATTTTAAAGACCTTCTGTTCCCTGGTCTCTTGATTTTTGTGGCCAGAATATACAAATGAAATCTGGTCTGTGAGCGTCCGCAAACACTGAGCTTAGGAATGTAGTGAGCGGGGCCACCTGTCAGAGCATCCCCTAGACGGGCTGCGACATACTACCCTGTATTCCAGTTGCATCTTTCTTCCTCCAGCAAACAGGTCCATCCCTCTGCCCTGTTGGGGCGGGGAGCTTGATTGTAGTAGTGCTTGGTTCCATTTGTAGAGTGCTTATCCCGTGGAGGCTCTATTTTCTAGACAGTCCATGTAATTGTCTCATTTACTTCTAAAACTCTGAATCCCCTGACAGCACCCTCATTGTAAAGAGAAGTAAGATAAGGCACAGAGATTTAAGTATTTTTCAAAGTCACCTGGAGTTGTAGGGATGGGATTTGTGTCCCTATACCTGCATTCCTCACTGTTGACCTGGTTTGACATTTCTGTTTAACTCTTTCATAGCCTACATCTTCAGGCATATTATACTTAACCAAGGTCTTGCTATACCAGATGTTACGTAAAAATGTTTTAATTCTCCACGCACTCCTGTTTGCTTGTAAAGGTATCATTTTGTAATAGGAAAATAGATTGAATACATTATCTCTTTTCAGCACTTGCTAGCTTGTCAGTATAAGAGAACTTCTGTTTCAGCACCACAATGCCTACTGCCACCACATTTTTTTTTTTTTTAAATGGTCTGGAAACTTTCTGATAAATTAATTTCTGAATAAGCCAAATATCTTAAAACTTTGCATAGGGTCTCATTTGTTTTTTTGGCAACTAAAGAAATCCCACGTCTTGCTTCTTGATTACTATAATTAAAAATGGAGTAGGTATCAAATCATTCTGGCTAATAGAAAAAATCTTAATGAGCCTCACTGGGTAGGATTTTAAAAGTTGTAGTGTCAGTCCAGGGCTTGTCCACTAGAGGGCAGTAAAAATTCAAAACAAAGTTGACCTGAACCCTTTGTAACCTGATTTCCAGTAGATAGGGATATTGAGTTTGTTCAAAATAAGTGACTCAATTTCTTTTTCATCCTAGGCAAAGTTGGATATTGCATTTGGAACACACCACACGTAAGCAAGTTCTTATGAGATGGGGGAGGGTATGGTTTTATGAGAGCCAAGAAGGCTGTTCCAAAAAGTGCTTTTGAAGGAACTCACAGGTGACAGTTTTGTCAGGGAAAAGAGTCTATCAGTAAAAATTCACAGGTGACAGTTTTGTCAGGGAAAAGAGTCTATCAGTAAAAATTCACAGGTGACAGTTTTGTCAGGGAAAAGAGTCTATCAGTAAAAATTAGAGGCAGTGGAGCCGTTTACTAATGGCCTTAAGACAAAGTCCTGGGATTCTGGCTCTCAGCATGAAAATCTGAATCTGTGATGCGGTTTCTGCTTTCTTTCTGTTTAGGACATTTCTTACAGCCAGCTTGAGGGGAATATTTGGTGGTTGTGTGATCTGTGGTTATGGATGACTGTATGTGTCAGTCATGTGCCTGTGGATTCTACTACCTTAACGTCTAGTGATCTCTTAAGATGCTGAGTTGCATTAAATAGACTATTGTTAGATCAGCCTTATGCTGTGATAGAAAAAAAAACTATTTTACAAAGTTGGTCTTTTTTGTTTGTTTTTAAGATTTTTATTTATTTATTTGACAGAGAGGGACCACAAGTAGGCAGAAAAGCAGGCAGAGGGGTAGGGGAAGCAGGTTCCCTGCTGAGCAGAGAGGCTGATGTGGGGCTCAATCCCAGGACCTTGAGATCATGACCTGAGCTGAAGGCAGAGGCTTAACCCACTGAGCCACCCAGACACCCCTATTTTACAGAGTTGTTAACTTGAGAAGCTGATGCATATTCCTGCTCAAGACTTCTCAGAAGTTCCTTTTAGAATAACTTTGAGAACTTGAGAAGAATAAACAGGAAAAACCCCTATTACTTCCTGCTTGACACGTACCCAGTGATCGGTTTGACTCCTGTTCTACTGCCGTGAGCCCAGCTGTTGGAGCCTTTTTACATAATTATTCTATAAATGAGAAAAAGAGTAAGATATGGTTGTCCCTGTTTCAATATTTTTATGAATCACATTTCTCTAGAAAGGATTTGTCAGAAGGATGTGACAAAGCCTCATCTTGGAGACCAACATTGGAAATGGGTTGGTATTACAAGCAGATTCCTTCAGATCCATCTCTAGGGCAACAAGCAATCTCATAGGAGGAATATTAGTCCTGAGTCTTGCCATGGTCATCGTTTTCTTGATGTTACAGTGACTTGAAATAAGGAAATACGTTCATCTTTTTATGGCAAAATGCATTTTGAAGCATACAGCCTGTTTTCAAAAGGAACCAGGGCCAGAAGAGTTGAGCCGTTTCATAAGAGGATGCCTTTCAATGCTACATTATCTGGTCCAGATGCCCTTGAGTAAATGTTGCAGGGTTTACCAACCATCCCTGATTGGTATCCTCTAACTGGACAGGGTTTGAGGATTGTTAGGAACTTTAAGCATTTAGCTCAGGTATAAATTACTCTTTAGTAGCACCGAGGTCACAGGATGCTAACTTCAGCAAAGGATACAAAATAGCCGTAAATAGACTGAATAGGTGTCTTGGGCTCCTCTCCCTGCATCACAGGAGAGCCTGGCGGTGGATGGCAATAGTCACCCTGTCCTAGATAGACAATCTGCCCGCAATGAATAGCACCAAATGGACCCTAGCCCACTGCCCTAAGCTGGACCCCGAGCATAAAAATCTTACTGATTCTGAAATACTGTCACCCATTTGGGGCCTGGACATGGTATGCTAGGTCTCTAGCGCCAGCTCCCTGCACTAGCCACCCATTCTGTGCCAACAGTCAGCACTAGGCTTAATCATGCTGCAGTTAACAGGCTGGCACATAGGAGAGCCCCATGTCTTCCATCTTCATTTCAATTACACTGTGATGGAGTGTGTTGGGCCTGGCCAGCATCTAGCATAATGACATTTGATTGATCCTAGAGAAGCTATCTTTTTTTATGCTATTTAACAAATTATTTGGTCCTTCCTTTTCATTATATAGAGGTTCTGAGTAGACAAGCAATTACCTTCCAGCTACTGTTGAAGATGGAACTACAACTCATTTTTAATTCTTGTTTGTTTACAGCTAAAATTGACCTCATTTTTTTCCTTTGGTCTACTCCTTCCTCCACACCCCCGTTACACACACAGACTTAGCAGGTTGAACCCAGCAGTTACTCACTTGGAGTTGTGAATGCCTAGGGAAGCAATTATAACAGAGCCCTTTCCAGCCATAGTCTGTGTAGTTTTTACATTGTGTTAAAATGCCAGTATCTTGTAGGAGATTAAACTCATGCCTTGAATTTACTCCATTACTCGTTTAAAAAATTTTTTTTAAAGAATTCATTAAATATTGGGACAGAGGGGCACCTGGGTGGCTTAGTGGGTTAAGCCTCTGCCTTCGGCTCAGGTCATGGTCTCAGGGTCCTGGGATTGAGCCCCACATCGGGCTCTCTGCTCAGCAGGGAGCCTGCTTCCCCTCCCCCACCGTGTGCCTCTCTGCCTACTTGTGATCTCTCTCTGTCAAATAAATAAAATCTTTAAAAGATTAAATATTGAGACACAGTTTTAGTGTTTTTTTTTTTAAAGATTTTTTTAAAATTTATTTATTTGACAAAGAGAGATCACAAGTAGATGGAGAGTCAGGCAGAGAGAGAGAGAGGGAAGCAGGCTCCCTGCTGAGCAGAGAGCCCGATGCGGGACTCGATCCCAGGACTCTGAGATCATGACCTGAGCCGAAGGCAGCGGCTTAACCCACTGAGCCACCCAGGCGCCCCCAGTTTTAGTGTTTTGAGACTTAATAATTCCTTTAGCTCTTAGTGTTTGGGTGAGAGAGGCCAAATTATAGGAGTTAGAAAAAGGAGGAAACCTTCCAGCTCCCGGTGCTGGGGTGTCATGTGCCTCCAACTTGAGAGTGTAGCTACCACAATAAATAGGAAGTAGTCTTTGACATTCAATTTAGCAAGCATGTATCGACCATGTACTGTGCACAGAGCATCCAAAGACAACCATGATGTAGCCCCCCTCCCCCCCTGCAATCATCATCCCTATTAGGTACAATAAACATGCTTTCTCTGTGTCTCTGTAGGATGCCATGTAGTCCCAGGGCCTGTCACCCAGTGCTTTAGAATTCTGAAGCTTTTCAGTGTCCCCCAGAGCTGGGAGCAAAAGTACCTCTGGCCCTGAGAATCCATAGTAGGGAAGGAGGGAAACCAAAGCAGCCAAATGGTGAATGTCTAACTGGGAGTCAGTAGCAGACTGCCGGGTGGGCCAGGCACCCCTTTCTGCTTGCATCTGTAGGCAGGCCTCCAACCACATATGACTTCGTCCTTCATCTCCCCTAGACCACATTATCCTACCCATTCACCCACTCATACACCAGTTGTATGAAGGTCCTTGGCCCCGTTCTTCCTCAGTGAGAGGAAGATCCCAGCATACGTGATCTGAACAAGCTCTTCCGGCTCATTTAGGAACCGTGATCATCCCATTACCTACCCAGCCATAGATTCTGCAGCTGTAAAATGAGACTGGTAAAGCCTCCTGGATTGCTGTAGAGATTTGGTGTGTTGCTCTTTTGGAGAGCTGCTGGAATGCCTGGCCCATAGGTGCTCTGCAGACATTCGTGTTCTCCCCCCTTTACAGGAATAGCTCCAGATTTGGAAATCATCCCTTTTGCTGCCCCCACAACTTAACAGGTGACATGTAGGTCAACATTTGTTCAGGGGAGACCTCCTTTCTTATCCTTTATCCATTTTTAATTGTGATTCTCATTAGCTCATGCCATTTTGTGTGAGATGATGGCTCTCTTTAGAGTAGTTCACGATTCTGTTGGGTAGGATTCACTGACAGCAGTACATGATTTTCCTGATAATTGATGCCTTGATTAATGGAAATATTTGTGAAACTTACATCTTGAATTCATAACTGTCCTTACTCTTAATTACAGTCAGCTGCTAATTTGGCAACTGTGTGTATAAATCTGCCTAGATTTCAGGGAGCACATTTCATAAATGGAGAAAAGATGGGTTCAGCAGCTGTCACTTCTCCAGCTTTGCATTAACTTACTGTTTGCCAGCTTGGGTTAAATTCTCATTTTGGCAAGAGCTAAATATCTCTTTTCTGTTCTCTGCAGTATATTTTTATATTAACTTTCTCCTGTCCAAATACTATTCACAGTATTGTTTGGAGAGAACCAGTGGTTCATTTTGCCCCCCGTGCATGAACTGACATCACAGTAGGTATTAAGTATAAGTAGCATTTTATCCCCAGTGGACATAAGGAAGAGTGACTGCCTTGAGGAGTGAATCTCTAGTTACATGGAGAGAACTTAGATTCCTGAAATAATTAGGAAACAATTGGGAAGCCAAAAGCCCTCCAGTAACAGATGAAGAAATGAAGCAAGACACTGAGGGAGTCCTGGAAATGCACACGTGAGAGAGTTTGTTTCACGAACCATGTTATGTTTCCTTCTCACAACCCTATGCAGCAAGGAAGGGGTTGATCCTTCACTTTGTATAAGTGAGAAACTGAGGGACACTGAGTGACTTCCTTAGGGTCTATGGCCTCCAACTGATGACTGGAGTTTAGGTCGTCAGCTTCAAGTAGAAAGCTCTTTTTTGTTCCTATTCCTTCTCTTGCTAGAATTAAAATACGAGAACTCTGTCTGATAACGGGAGGCCTGGGGAAGGAAGGCCCATGGCAAAGGGAGGACTCAACTGGGTCTGATTTTAGTAAATAAAGGAAAGACTTATTTCAAGGCGAGATACACGTTAGTGATCAGTATGGCATTTGTGGAGGATAAGAAAAGATCAGTCTTATGATAGTGAAGCAGTTTCATATTCCTCTAAACTGCAACTCACATTAAAAAATACAATGTACATTTCAGTCTGTTATATTTGTCCATACTCATGCTAAAACTGGCTATTTAAATGTCTACAGTATATTTTTGAGTTTTTAAACTTTATTGCAACTTTTTTTTTTTTTTAAGATTTATCTATTTCTGAGAGCGAGCATAAGCAGGAGGGGCAGAGGGAGAGAGAATTTCAAGCAGACTCTGTTGAGCGCAGAGCCTGACATGGGGCGTGATCTCATAACCCTGAGATAGTGACCAGAGCCAAAATCAAGAGTCCGATGCTTAACTAACTGAGCCACCCAGGTGCCCCTTTATTTCAACTTCTTAAAAAATGCTAGCCATTTAAAAAAAAAAAATATATGCCAGCCATGATATAGCAGGAGGTTGTGACCATACTTCAAAAAACACTGGACAAGAAGGTTTCCATGGTCCTGAATAGTAGCGGGTAATAGCTAAGGGTAAGGGCTCAAAGTGTCAGGCTTGCCCATGCAGGCAGGATGAGGCCAAAGTTTATTTACCAATACTCAGAGCATTTTGGAAGGTGGTTTTCTACCTATCACTAAAATGGATTTTGATTTTACTGTGTAGAAGAAATGAGGATTGTAAATGTTAAAAGAGTATTAGAAGGGTCTAAGCACTACTTCAGCTCATGGTATTTGCACTGGAAAAATAGTACATATTTTAAAAGTAATGTTAATCCTTTTGTTCTTCTCTTTGTTATTAAAGGAAAATGATGTTACTGCTGTATGAAGAAGGCCTCCGGGTTGTCATACACACCTCCAACCTCATCCATGCTGACTGGCACCAGAAAACTCAGGGGTTTGTAGGCTTCTGTTTACTACACAGCAGTGGCTATGGGTGGCATTCCCTTTCTCTTATATTGTTAAAACAGAACAAAACAAAAAACAAAACCCCTCACATGTGGCATAGAGAAGAGACCTACACAGAAATAGTATTTTGTTGCACCCCCCACCCCCCAGGCCCACCTTCTTGAAGTAACGAGTGCTAACAGTTTAGTACATACACATCCGTGACTATTGTATGTGTTAACAGAAGGACCTTTTTTCCTTAGCTCTTACAAAAACAGGATTATACATACTCTACAGCCAAGCACAGGGAACAGCATATGCAAAGGATCTGAGGCAGGAGAGAGGGTGTAAAATGAAAGGTGTGAACCCATTTTTCTGGTGAGACCCATCAGTAACTTGGCCCGGTACCCACTGTACTTTTGCTTGCCATTTCCCAAATGGTAGTGAAGGGGAACTTAGTGGTTAATCATCTGTTAAAAACTTCCTGTCATCCTCAGTTTATTTTTCCATAAAAGAAATCTGATGTATTTTTAGAGCCGTTGATATGTTCGTATGGTCATGAATCGCCAAGAGAAAAATTGAATTTGAAATTTCTTCGTGCTTTTTTTATTACTAACCCTTTGTTCTCAGTATACTTACTCCAGATCTAGTCTTTGAGTCCTTTTAAGGGGAGGGGCTAGGGGTTTTTTTGTTTTAGGGATTTGCTTAAATCAAGTTTTAAGCACTGTCTCCCACTTGGTAAGCTCTTCATTCTGGCTTTCATTTCCCTTTTTTAAGTCATTGTGTACATCTCTGCCTTCTCCAGGATTAGAAGAAACTCAGGCATTCCTCTAGCACCTTTCACAGTTCCCATATTCTCCACTCTCCTCCTCCCCTGCCTTACGCTCCGTCACTGCCCAGGCTGGGCTAGAACTCTTAATTTCTACTGCTGTGTAGAACAAGGGTACCCCCTCTCCCTTCAGACAGCCCTTCCAGCTTGAAAGGCAGGCTTTTCCCTGAGCCTGACATCTCTAGCTCTTTGTCTTCACTGCCTTTCTCCAGCAGAGCAAGGGGCTTAGAGCCTCACCCACAGTGCCTGATAGTTTTTCTGTAAACATGTTCCAGTTTTCAAGTGTCTCACTGCTTCTCAAAATGCATCGAATTCCAGCTGGTTCAGGATGGAAGGATCACCACTGTCTCAAAAGCCTCAGCCACAGGAGGACTCTCTTGAGCAACAGAACTGAGTTAACTACACCTTTGCTTCTCCTAGAGCTGCTTAGCTGCTTGGTTGGGTGTTGAAACTCATGAGTCTTATGGAGTTTATCAAGTTGGCACTGATTCTTATGTGACTCAAAGAGTCCCACCCCTATCCCCCAGCTCTTTCTCGAGTCAGAAGCTTGAGCCATGCTCCTTTAAGTTGGTGGCACATGGTTTCAAACTTAAAGTACGGAGGGTATGAAATCTCCAACTTCCCTTTGCCAGCCACCCTCGAGTAGGGTACTGTTGTACTGTTATCTCACAGCGAGTCTAGATTCTAATCCCAAATTTGCATTTTTGTGTTGTGGGTTATAATTTTTTAAATGTTTAAAAATAGTACTTTGGTGTAATTTTCACGGTTGCTCCACTAGTTATGCTCTGCTGGTCCTGGTCTGCTGTACAAGCATTTCAGCCATCCTTTTTAGCTGCTGCTCGGTCTGCCTGTTAATTTCTCACTTTGAAAATTATTTGGCCCACGATAATTACACATTTTACTTTGTCAAGTGCTAAAAACACCTCACATCTCCGTATCCTGGTTTAGAAAGTTGTCATCTGTCCTGTTCCTCATCCAGACACTGATGTGAGGGAGCCTTTAATCCAGGAGGAGCCCAGCAGCCTGTGAGCTCTGAATTGCTATGTGTGAGGGAGAGACTGACACATCTGTGTGGCCCGGTATGCTCGTTACTCATGTAGAGAGCCAGGTGCTCACAGAGCTCGTTGGGCTGGCCCCAAAGGACACAACCAGTTAGAAGCAGATCTGGCCCCAGCACCTGTGCTGTAGTCCTCTTCACCTATGTTACCCCTTGTCCAAAGGGTCTCTTCAAGATGGGAAGGAAAGGTGTGACATGCCACCCTGCTAGATATGTGTGCAGAGTTCAGAAGATGTACGGGCAGGATCCTTGCAGTTCTGGATGCTTCCTGCCCCGGTGGCTTGCATCTCCCCAGTCTCCTTTGAGGGGTGCCAGGTGAAAGAGGAATTGGGCACTTTGTCTTTGGGCTTAATGGGTGGAACTGCAGTGGGATAGCCACAGAATCAGAAAGTTGGTGACAGCAAATACGTCTTTAGCTCTTGTTTAAGCCTGATACTGCTCATTATCTCAAGTGTGAGGCATACACACCTTGTGATGCGGGACTGCTGGCCCGGGCGATTTTGCAGCTGAAACTGAGCACGAGGTTTGAAACCATATTTCTTTGTGATCTGTCATGGAGCATGTCATAGAGGGATGGGGTTTAGGTGCACTTTTCCCACTTGTGGGTGCATAGAAGTTTAGGCGAATGGAATTACCCTCCTTTGAGGACAATCGGTGAAATGAAAGATCTCTTTAATACATTGTTTACTAGGTTGTTTGAAAGTAAGAGGTTAATAAATGTAATAGCGTTGAATATGGTATCTACTCATTGCAGGCATCAGGGAAGTACAGGATGTGAAAAGATCTCAAGTTGCTATAGCATATACATCATGAAAATGAGTTTATTTATTGCAAATAGATTTGTATGTACATTTTTCTTAGTGTAGGTAACTTTTTTCCCATTTGACTGAAGAGTTACATGGGGGTAGCTTGCTGGGGTTGCTACAGGTGGTATGAATTTGCTGTGACCATTAGGCATGCTGCTATTAGTTACTGTCTCAGGGTCTTAGCAGTGTGGAGGTTGGGGGCGGGGGTAAAGAATAAGGAAGGTGTGGCCAAAGAGGGAGCATAGAGCATTGAGTTGTGAGAAATGGGCAGAGGCAGGGTCCTAAATTCATGGTGAGGTATTGAAAAATCATTCTGAATATTGTGGGAGTCATTGGAGTGGTGCAATGGGATTTATGCTCACGTTCCCTAACGATGCACTCTACTTACCATGCGGACACCAAGTGCGATTTGCCTCTTCCTTAGGGTGAGTGTGTAGTCAGCAGAGGTATCATGGTGATCAGTTGCTTTCCTGACTGGTTTTTTTTGTTGTTGTTTTGTTTTTCTATTCCAGAATATGGTTGAGCCCCTTATACCCACAAATTATCCATGGAACCCACAGATCTGGAGAATCAACAACACATTTTAAAGCCGATCTCATCAGCTACTTGACAGCTTATAATGCTCCTTCACTCAAGGAGTGGATAGATACCATCCACAAACACGATCTGTCTGAAACCAAGTATGTGTTACTTAGCAATTTGGGATTCTTAAAGCGGGTGAATACCTTGAGAGCCGTACCGTAGCTGCAGTGCAGGAGCCTTGGGAGGCGGTGGAATGGTATCTGGCTGTCCCTCATAACGTGAGAGCACATTCTCTCACTCTCTGCCTCTCCTAGATCTGAGGGGCTAAAGTGGAGGCCAGTAATCTTCCTGCTCACCATAAGCCTCCTTCTGGAGCACTCCTGAAGCTACACGATTTCATTGCTGGTACCTTACCCTTGTGAGTGTTCCACCATGATTTGATGTGCTTGAAAATGATTGTCCGTTATTGTTCTGAGGAGGCGTCTCAAGAAAATAGGTGGTCTCTTAGAACATCTCGTGATAACATTAGTTTCTGTGTGTATTTTGTGATTTGGGGGTCCACGAATCATACCAGTCTTCTCTATAACTTGTATTTTATGGTCTTTTAGTGTTTATCTGATTGGATCAACCCCAGGACGCTTTCAAGGAAGTCAAAAAGATAACTGGGGACATTTTAGACTTAGAAAGGTAACAGAATTTTTATTATTTTGTTATAATTAGTGTGTATTTTTCATAATATATCTGGATGGCAGCTTCGTAATAGCACAATTGTGGGTGAACAGCATGCTCTCGATTATAGTTTTCAGTAATTTTTAATGTTTCGCCTTTTTGAGGTATAGATTGCTCTAAATGGCAGAAGTATAAAGACTTTTTTAGTTGCTTTATTTCTTAGATTTCTCATTCATGCAGCTATTGTTGCTTTTGATTTCCTCATCTGAAGGCTTTTTAACATACAAATTCAACAAAGAACAGAAAAATACTATTGAGTAAAGGCTACAACTGTGCTAGGATGTATTTTGTTTAGTAAACCAGAGCCTTTAAGAGTTATTACAAAAGCAGTCTTTGCTGCTGGTTTGAAAATGAACAAAGAAAAGTCTTAACAAATTGAAACAAGCAAGTTCAAGATTATGGTTTTCTTCATCTCTGTTTAGGAGACCCATTAATGGCACTAATAAATTCCCCAAGTGGCTCTCCTAAAAACTTTACCTTTTTCTGTGAAGTATTGGTCATGTAAGAATTACTCTTGGTTAATGAAACTTAATTTCCTTTTTTGAATTGAGGCCACAGCTGAAAATGGGTAGAATCTAGCAGCTAACATCCTCATGTCATGACCTAAAGAAGGCATTAGAGCACACAGGCTGAGTGGATAGCTTGGAGGCAGATTCTCATACATGGGTTCAAATCCTCACCTGTTTATAAGTCATGTGACCTGCCTCTCCTCTATAAAACAGGCATAATAACAGTACTTCACTCACAAAATTGCATAAGGATTAGGTGAACTAGAGAGGGCAAGGGGGTATTTGTTGAGCCTTCAGTGTGCTGGTTGATGGCTGTCAGTTTGTGGCCTGATGGTTGAGAAAGGCTAGATGCTAGCACATAGTGTGTAGAATCAGTCTTCCTGGAGGTAAAAGAGCATCTTGGTTTCCAGACCACTTCTCCCACACACCTGCTGCATCACAGCTTCCTTCCAGGGAAGACAGGGATGGTCAGACTGGTCTCTCACTGACCTGTAAATGGAAGCCCAGGGACGTGTCCAGGACCCTGTAGCAGATCAGGGGTCGAGCACCAGAACAGAAACTGGGTCTTGTAGCCATCAGCTCAGTCCTGTTTCTTACACCATGCTGCAGAAGGGTGGAAACTGAGAACTAGGCTTTTTGGTAACCTCATTTATAATATTAATGCCTAAGCTGTGTTAAGAAAAAGAATACTTATGAAACTAAATAATCCATCAGTCAGAATGTGATCTCCGTTGGGAGCTGCTGTGGCTTATTTTCTTCAGCTTCTTGGAAGTAGACACTCAGTACTTGTTTAAGTAGATAAAATTTCCAAATATTTTTGAATTGTTTCTGCAGCTTTGCATAATTATAAAAGCAGGAAATGCAGGCTCCTGCAGTGCTTAGGGTGCTCTGTATATATACATAAAAACGCTCTTTAATTTTTTTAGAGCATCACTACATGGAGCCCAAGTGTGAAATCTCTTTCAAATGATAGGATCAAAATATACAATAGTTTGTATTTTTTTTTTTTTAGGTATTAACAATTATTTCAAGGCAAAATCTCATTCCATATGGCAGGTCAGTGGTTTATCTGACATTCCTACTAAAAGGGATCTTTTAAAAAAAATTGGTTTTGCTTTAATACAAATCAAAGAATTTTAGAAGAATACTTCTGTCCACCTATCCCATTAAAATATTTTTAGTATTTAAACAATATTTTCCAAAGAAGAAAAAGTGAGTATGAAATTGATATGTAATATTTTTAGCATTTTTTGTTGATTAGGGGTTCCAAGGACAGAAAACCCGGTTCTGAGTTGTTAAAGCTTTTCTGTTTACAGCTTTTGAAAGAGCATGCCTCTCCTAAAGGGGAGTCCTGGCCCATAGTCGGGCAGTTCTCAAGCATTGGGTCTATGGGAGCTGATGACTCAAAATGGTTGTGTTCCGAGTTTAAAGAAAGCTTGGTGACGCTGGGGAAGGAAAGTCGGACCCCAGGAAGAAGTGCCGTTCGTCTTCATCTGGTGAGTGCCCTTCCTGCTTCACACGATCACTTTTATTCTCTAGTCCTGGAGAAGCATGAGAATCCATCCTCCCTCTCATAGAGGTTTTAGTCCGTGATTCTTGCATGGAAACAGCAGTGCATTAGCACCATCGTGTGTGATCATGTGACCCTTGTATCCTCTGGTGCTGGGAGGGTGGTGCCCTCTGCTGGGAGGGTGGAGCTCTATTTCAGCCATACACTAGTCTGGGATTTTTACATTTCTTCCTTCGGGTTCTCAAGCCAAAGAAAAAAATATCTGGTAAAGCATTAGCTCAGAACATTATTAGAGATTTTTGAATTAATAATTAATTTTGCAAAAAAAATAATTTTGCATTGAACTCAGTGTTAATTTGGCATTTTTGAGGGAGAAACTCAAACTGAAGTTTTTCATTGAATATATCTGCTTCCTCTAGTTTCTAGAAGTTACATTTTTTCATAAGATGAAAATTCTTAAATTTTTTTTTTTTTTAAGATTTTTATTTATTCATTTGACAGACAGAAATCACAAGCAGGCAGAGAGGGAGATTGGAGGAAGCAGGCTCCCCGCCGAGCAGAGAGCCCGATGCGGGGCTTGATCCCAGGACCCTGGGATCATCACCTGAGCCGAAGGCAGAGGCTTTAACTCACTGAGCCACCCAGGCGCCCCGGAAATTCTTAAAATTTAAATTACATTTTCTAAGTTTTTAAATGACTTAAAGATTTTATTTGTCAGAGAGTACACAAGTTGGGGAGCAGCAGGCAGAGGGAGAAGGATGCTCCCTGCTGAGCAGGAAGCTCGTTGTGGGACTTGATCCCAGGACCCTGGGATCTTGACCTGAGCCGAAAGCAGATGCCTAACTGACTGAGCCACCCAGGCGTTCCCTAAATGAAATCTTTCTAATTGAGATTTTCATCTTAAAAACATTCCTTTTAAGAAAGTTTCTTTAACATGGTACAATTTGAGTGTTACTTTGTATTTTTCCTTTTTTTGAAATTTTTTTCATGTATTTTTAGATCTATCCTTCTGTGGAAAATGTGCGAACCAGCTTAGAAGGATATCCAGGTAACTGTGGGAGACTGTCTCAGTTGCATTTTTTGGTGTATCTTTCATAAATGCCCTGGTAAACTTTTTCAAACAAGTAATAAAAATGCCATTCTCCTTGAGAAAAGAACTGGTTACAAATTTGGAGCATATTTTCCCTTAACTGGCTAACAATCATGGAAATAGGTAATATTGAGTAGTACTAGTTCCAAAGATGGTTCCATGCTTTTGGGCAATTTTAGTATGTTACTGAATCCTCACAGTAACACTGTGAGGACTTGTTCTGATTTCCACAAGTTAAGGTGGTCCCTCTGCCAAAAGTGGGTCGGTTGTCCGGACAAGATGTCTGAATAAAACCACCTTCCCTGTTGCGTCCTGCCTTTCCAGATAATTCTAACATGCCTTTCTCTGATCTCTCTCTCCATATCCTCCTTGCTTGTGTCTGTGGCTCTGTGTGGTTCTTCCAGATTTGAATCACAGATATATTTAAGGTCCAGAACTTCTGCTTAATCTTGGTGTTGCCTAGCTGATACTTGAGCTTTCTAAAGCACTTCATCTGTAAATGCCTAGGATGATTTTGTAGGCAACTTTCAACTTTGTTTGCTATTTTCCTTATACTGTGCTGGACACTGAACTTATATTTGGACTCCAGCAGCCCTCCAGATAGCACTTTCAGGAGGCAGTAACCAAAAACCCAAGCAGGGTTTGTCTCTGGAAAAAGGAAATCTGATTGGCATTTGCTCGTGGCTGGAAGCAGAATGCTTTGAATTAGACTAATTTGGTCCATTTATTGCTTGTCAAACCAGAGGTGACCCTGCCAGAAATAACTTGGTTAAGGCTTGGAATGTAACGTGTCAGCCCATATAATGTATTGCCCTAATGGCAAAGCCAAAATTATTTCGCTGAGGTTTGAGACATGGTGATGTTTTAGTTGGTTTTTGTCTTTTCCTTTCTCCGCTTCTGTTAGACCAGATTCATTCAAAATGTGCTTTTTAATGGGGAAGAACAAGGTATTTTCCATAAAACTATTTCATAACTGGCTCTGAATATGTTTTTAAGTTATTTGCAGTAGAGGATACGACATACCTTATGATGATTCAGAAATTTAAAGCCCTTTTTGGATATAGATTATTTATGGAGAAGTTCCAACATGTGTTTAGAAAGTCAATGGTGAATCTGCAATAGAACTTTCCTCCTTTCAAAGATGAACAAAAACTGGCTACTAATTGTGTTTCCACTTGGAACTGTATCTCTACTTTCTATGCAGGAATATGGCATTTAGAATTGCTTTTTAGGGGCACCTGGGTGGCTCAGTGGTTAAGCCTTTGCCTTCAGCTCAGGTCATGATCTCAGGGTCCTGGGATCGAGTCCCACATCGGGCTCTCTGCTCTGCAGGGAGCCTGCTTCCTCCTCTCTCTCTCTCTCTCTCTGCTTGCCTCTCCGCCCACTTGTGATCTCTCTCTGTCAAATAAAATCTTAAAAAAAAAAAAAATAGAATTGCTTTTTAAAAACAACTGTTTACCAGGCATTTTTTTTTTTTTTTTAAGATTTATATATTTGAGAGAGACAACAAGAGCAAGAGGAGGAGAGGGAAGGGGAGAGAGAGAGAGAGCAAGAATCTCAGGCACACTCCCTGTTGAGCATGGAGCCCAACACAGGCCCTAGTCTCATGATCCTGAGATCATGACTAGAGCCAAAACCAAGTCAGATGCTTAACCAACTACCACCCAGGTGCCCCTGTACATTTTAACTTAAATTTAGTGATGACTATTCCGTTTGTAAGAATGTTTAGCTAATACAAACTCTGTTTGGAAATATCAGAAAATAAGAGGTAAAGGAAGCAGAAGGACTGAATTTTCATCTTAGTGTGCCTTCCCAGGTGTCCTGCTCTTGGGCAAAAATTGGAGATGCTCCAGACCACCTGCATGAGAACTGTAGGATAGGCCAGAGTTCTTTTTTTTTTTTTTTAAGATTTTATTTATTTATTTGACAGAGATCACAAGTAGGCAGAGAGAGAGGAAGGGAAGCAGACTCCTTGCCAAGCAGAGAGCCTGATGTGGGGCTCGATCCCAAGACTCCGGGACCATGACCTGAGCCAAAGGCAGAGGCTCTAACCCACTGAGCCACCCAGGCACCCCTAGGCCAGAGTTCTTAATGCAATTTTTCAAAAACCTTTGAATCTGTGCTGTTATTGATATGTAAATTACCACCCCTGAGTGACTAAATAGTGCCTCTTTTCAGATTGTAAACATGTACCATTTAACATGTATCCCTAAGTAAGGAAACCCCATAACAGAACATACCTAATACAAGTGTAGACCTTTCCTTTCAAAGAACCATTTCATAAGACGAAATAGGAAGTGGTATTGTTTTTCAGTGTTTACTGTAGATTCTTAATGAAGGATCCTAAAATTATTTTCTATAATACTTATTTTCTTCTTTTAAAAGCTGGGGGCTCTCTTCCCTATAGCATCCAGACAGCTGAAAAACAGAATTGGCTCCATTCCTATTTTCAGTAAGTAATTGGTTTAGAATGCTGCTATTGCTTCTTTAGGAATAAGAATGTTATTTATGTCAGTCTGTTCTTTTAAAAAAGAACCTTACATAATACAGCTGTATTTTTTCATCGACATATGTTAGTGATGGAAATAACTTAAAACAAGGGTTTTGAACATTATTTGAAATAGGTTTTTAATACCAAAGAATGAAACTGATCTGTGAGGTTTGTATTTAAATATTGGCACTCAAAGAAAAAAAATAAAGATGATGATGGATAACTTAGAATTTATGTAAGCAGCATTTTTTAAAAATGTTGAGTATAATTGACACACAGGAGTGCATTAGTTTCAGGTGTACGGCATAGTGATTCAGCCGCATTTAGCTCCTATTTCCAGATTATAGTTCTTCTGTCTGCACATGAACACCCTGCGTGACTGCGGGCTTGCTGAGGGCCGACTCCACAGCACTCTTTCTCCAGGACATGGGCTCAGACTTGGTTTGTTTTAAGGGTTCAGTAACTGGTTGAATGAACAGGGGAAAGGATTGTCATTTGCCCTCCTCTTGTTCCACTATGCATACTGCATGTTCTAGGTCATTGCACTTCCCTGCTGGCTCCAGGCATTTATTACACTTGATGGCTGGAAACAAAGGCAGGTTGCATCTCAGTAGCTTGCAGGCTAATTCAGTGTGTCTTTGAGGGCCTGTTGGGAGATTATTCTCTACAGAGAATATTTCTTTATATTGAGCTCCTTTCACA